ATTAGCATTTGATTGGCAGACTTAGCATGATGAAAGGTGCAGCTCAGTGATCGGAGACGGCAATGCAACCGCCTGTGCTGCGAAAGTTTGGGGTACCATTGCTTGAAAAAATATACTGTACTAATGAAAATTAGTTTAATGTTTGGTTTGATTTAGAACATCTTTCCAATGGTTGCTTAATTTGAAACCATCTTCTCGGTTGAAATTGTGTCTGTGTTTGTAGATATGAACTGCCTCGTGAACAAATCTCTGATAAAAACCTGTGGGTTTGCAAAGAACCTTGGTATCGGAGAAAATTATATCGTGATCACCCACAGCATTGTAACAGTGATCAGCCATGGCAGAAGAATTCGTTCTGCCGTGTTTCAAATCTGATTTGTGCTCGCGAATTCGGTCAGAGACATGTCGCTTCGCCTCCCCGATATAGCAATCACCGCAGGTACAACTAAATTTGTAAACCCCGGGGTACTGTAAGTCAGGAATGACATCCTTCACGGATGGGATCAGATCACGAATTTTGTGTACTGTATTGAACCGGACCTGGATCTTGTGTTTGTTTAGAATATTGGAAATTGATAAATTCAACCACCTATCAAAGAAAAACCCGGTTCCACAGATCACAACACTAGACGCTAACAAAATTGTTATCAATCAGAGTAGCACCCCGATTTCGGACAATCTGAAAACAGTATTGGCTAAAGGACTAAATTTCGCTGTCACCCCAAAACATATACCGATAGATGATATCATTTCTCAGGTCGATGTAGCCCTCAAAGGTATAGGACACATCCAAGCAGACGTCGCGAGAGCTGAAATAGCTACTATTCTTAAGAATGCTAAGAAACCCGTTAGCAACATCAGCAAAGATGAACGCTCTGAACTCGCGAAATTAAAAGAGAGACATGATATAGTCATCCTCTCAGCCGACAAGGGCAATGCCACTGTAATTATGGCTAAAAACTCATACAACAATAAAATTCAGGACCTACTCAATGATGGTAGTTACTCAAAAATTAAAAATGACCCTACTAATAGCCTAACTATGAAAACCAACAAGATAATCACAAGTTCGACCTCCCTAATAGAACCAACTAAACGTCCCTCCCTAAAACCTTCTGCTGCAAGACCCCCTAGATTATATGGTCTTCCAAAGATTCATAAAGAAGGCACTCCACTACGACCCATCATATCCACGATCAACTCCCCTACCTATAAGCTAGTACGTTTTCTGTCGGATACCCTGCTACCTTTCACTGGCAAGACCTCCTCAGCAGTACTTAACTCAGCCCAATTGGTTTCTATGGTCAAAGATGTTGTACTGTCCCCTGACGATATCCTTGTCAGCTTCGATGTGGTCTACTTGTTCAACAAGGTCCCGGTACCTGATACCATTGATATAATTGAAAATTTGGTACATGGACTAAACCCCGAGGTACCTACGCTGGTCAGGCACTGCCTCACCAACACCTACTTTACTTGGAATGGTTCCTTCTACAAGCAAAATGAGGGTACTCCCATGGGTTCCCTCTTGTCACCAGTGACAGCCAATGTTTTAATGGAGAAATTTGAATCGGACGCCATCCAGACTTCCACCCTCAGATCTTCCCTGTGGAAGAGATATGTGGATGACACGTTCGTCATTTGGCCACATGGCCTCCCAGCTCTGAACCTTTTCCTACACCACATCAATTCCAGACATCCCGCCATCAAATTCACCATGGAAGTGGAGAAAAATGGCAAGCTACCATTCTTGGATGTTCTGTTTGAGAGGAGACCTGATGGCTCATTGGGGCATTCTGTCTACAGGAAACCCACCCACACAGATTCCTACTTGAAGCCTGATTCCCACCACCACCTAGCCCAAAATAATTCTCTCATCAAAACTTTATACCATAGGGCTCATTGCATTTCAGACCAACACTACCTGGCCAGTGAATTAAAACATGTACACCTGGCCCTCAAACGGAATGGATACTCTGACCGTACCATTCGCCAAGCTGTTTCTCCCTCCACACAAAAACAACCACTTGATACTCCGGTCAAAACCATCACACTACCATATATAGTAGGCATTACTAAAAAGATTTCCAAAATTCTAAACAAACACAAGATCCAGGTCCGGTTCAATACAGTAGACAAAATTCGTGATCTGATCCCATCCGCGAAGGATGTCATTCCTGACTTACAGTACCCCGGGGTTTACAAATTTAGTTGTACCTGCGGTGATTGCTATATCGGGGAGACGAAGCGACATGTCTCTGACCGAATTCGCGAGCACAAATCAGATTTGAAACACGGCAGAACGAATTCTTCTGCCGTGGGTGATCACGATATAATTTTCTCCGATACCAAGGTTCTTTGCAAACCCACAGGTTTTTATCAGAGATTTGTTCACGAGGCAATTCATATCTACAAACACAGACACAATTTCAACCGAGAAGATGGTTTCAAATTAAGCAACCATTGGAAAGATGTTCTAAATCGAACCAAACATTAAACTAATTTTCATTGGTACAGTATATTTTTTCAAGCAATGGTACCCCAAACTTTCGCAGCACAGGCGGTTGCATTGCCGTCTCCGATCACTGAGCTGCACCTTTCATCATGCTAAGTCCGCCAATCAAATGCTAATTTGTATGCTAATTCCTTTGTCAAGGCACCCTAATCCCTCTCATACAGCTTAAAGGTTGTGGTCTGAGCTTGGCTCTGTTTCACTCCAGCGCAGTCTTCGAGACAGTCTGGTCCCTTCACCTGATGAAGGCCGCTTTTGTTGTGGCTGAAACGTGATTTTTGTTGTTTTATTTTTTTACCTAAGTGACTTTACCGAATAGAACCAAAGAGTATGGATCCTTGCAGTCACGAAAGCTTCAAATCTAGAATTGCTCTAGAGGACTTGTACAACCCTAGCCGTCACTGCTATTCAGTGGCCTGAAATCAAATGTATCGCTCCGGATGACCGCTGAAAAGTAAGATCGTGTTTTGATTATAGTGTGCTAATCTTTCAAATTACATTGAAATCTTTTTTATATTCCTGATACTCCTGCTGTTATGGAGTGACTCATGCAGCCAGCTATGGCTGCAAAGTTTGGTAGTACATGTTATGTATATCGTTATTGTTGAATTTCAATCACAGTTCCTATGATCACTGTTACATTGCTTTTATAGCTTGATTTTGTTGATTTCGAAAACTTTTGGTTTAGCCATATTTGTTTGTTGTAGTACAGAGTTAGATTGATAACTTTAATCTAAATTGTCTCATGGTTGTTATTGTTTGACTTGCATCCCACTGGGATTCTTGCACACAGCATTGATATGTGGTGCTTTTTCTGAAAGACTTTGCTGTTTATGCCTGGATTTTTCTGATGTGCGTAATTACTTTAAGATGTTTCTTGTTCATGTTTTCATTTGTTGCGCTTGCACCTGATTCAAGAGCCGAATGGCTCACAGGGTATATACCAAATAAATTAAACTGAAATGAAAACTGAGTCTGTATGGGTCTCTATGGGTCTCTGTATGGGGCTCTGTGTTAGGGTCTCCGAGTATGGGTCTCTGTGGGTCTGCATGGGTCCCCGAGTATGGGACTCTGTGGATCTATGTATGGGTATCTGGGGGTCTAGTGCAGTGGCGTAACGCGCGCAGGGTTTGCAAACAGCAGTTGCACAGCAGTTGCATTCATGTACTCGGTTGCAAACAGTGAGGTCAGCTCAGGACAAGCAGGTGCAAGCGGGTGGCCTGGAAGACAGCAGACACAGTGACGCCAGCAATTAGGGAAAGAGGCAGTGATTGACTGGCTGCAAATGCAAACAAGGGGGAGGCGCCACGGAGGCGAGAGATAGAGGCGATAAGGGGGAGAGACACGCTGGAAGGGCGCCGCTGGGGGCACGGGAGAGGTTTGAGGTGCGGGTGTAGACAGGCTAGCGGAGGAGAGGCGAGCGTAATCTTTAGTCTGAGTGTGATAGGCTAGCGGGGTGAGAAGCTAGTGGAGATACAGCACGAGCGAGAGTCCATGACAGGTTAGAAAAGTGGGGAGTAAGAGGCTTGCGGAGCGAGAGAAAGTAAGCTCGAAGTAGCAGGCTAGCGGAGGAAGAGAGGAAGAGTTTGCGACAGGAGCACGTGGTGTTGAACGTGAGGAGCATCCATATGGGATGCCGCAAATGAAGTGACACAGGATAAAAAGACGAAGTTGTCCGCGTGAATAAACACCACACTATATATGTATGGGTCTCTATGGGTCTCTGTGGGTCTATGTAAAGGTCTCTGAGTATAGGTCTCTATGGTTCTATGTATGGATCTGTGGGTCTTTATGGGACTGAGTATGGGTCTCTGTGGGTTTCTGTATGGGTCTATGTATGGGTCTCGAAGCACCAGAATCGCCATTTATGCTCCAGGAGAAATCCGTAAAGCTCTGAAGCTCTTTCATCACAGGTGTCCAGTCGGGGGCCACGGGGGTCAGAACGTTACAAAAACAAACGCACAACGCGCGCACGAGACACGACGGGAGGGGGCAGCGTACAGGAGGTAAACAAATCACTTAACAGATTGTCTACAAACAGCAGCAAGCTGTGTATAGAGGGGAGCAGCAGCAACGCACGCGTGTAGATCACTCACACACATAGCGCGTCACTCTCACCACACCACACCGTCAGTCGCCAGCCGCTTAAACACCGCTCCCCCACCCCAACTCAACGTCGCGACTTAAAGACACAAATATAAATTGGAGTAGATATTAAATAAAACGTTATTAAAGTTGTTTTTAATTTCCCTCCCACCGCCGCCGACCGCCCGTGACCGGCATCGGCCTAGGCCGGCCTACCGAGTACCTCCCGCCTCGGCCGGTACGGATTCTATCCGAGGAGCGGTGTCTCTCGCGGCCTCGCCTCAGGGGGTGTTTTAAACGCCTCGGCCTTTTGGAGATGGTGGGGGGGGGTTCTTTGTCTGTCGCTCTCGGGGGGGGGGGAGACAAAGACGGCTGTGAGGGGGGTGAGGGGGGGGGGACTCACGGCGATGAGGAGTCGCACGACTCGAGACGACTCAGTCAACAATGGGGAGCGTGGAATTCGATCCGAATCGATTAGTGCGCGTGATGCGACTTAAACATAGATTCCGATTCCTCTAGCGACGTCGATGAGTTGGGAGGGGTGCTCGCTTTCAATTCTCTAATCGATTAATAAATACGATTCAATTTCCGTTAAGTTGAATACTCAACATACACGATTACTGGTCGTGGTTCCTATTTCGTGGATCGATCCACCATGACGGGGTCAGCGAGTTACAGCGTCACTGTAGTGTATAGTGTAGTGTATAGTATTAAAATTTTATTTTAATTACCGAAAGGACCAAGAATAATTCTACATTATAGACTGCCAGTGCACTCACTCAGTTTAATAACCATTGCTACAGTCTACATTATAGACAGCCAGTACACTCACTACGAATAAGAACCAAGCTACAGTCTACATTATAGACTGCCAGTACACTCACTACGATTAAGAACCAAGCTACAGTCTACATTATAGACTGCGAGTACACTCACTACGAATAAGAACCAAGCTACAGTCTAGGTTCTTTCCGTGGACCGTCCCGGTAGCCGCTTAACTCATCGGCCTATTCTCCCCTAAGCTCCCTACTGGTCGAGCCCGGATGGGGGTTAATCCAGCGGCGTCCGGTCACCAGCGGCGAGCCTTCTCACTCCGGCCCCGGACGAGGGTCTCGGTGCCGAGCGGCGCGTCTTCCGTTCCTCTCAGCTCCCCACAACGACCCTGCCCCTCACCCCGGGGTCTCCCCTAAGTACCCTGCCCCTCTGGATCCATGACGTCAAGCTATGACGTCATCCCACTCTGCTTTCCTGCCGATGACCTCACTTCCTCCCACTACTCCTCTACATCAGTGCAAAGTGTAGTAGAAAGCAGTGCATAGTGTAGTGTATTGTATAGCAGTTTATAGTGTAGTGTATCGTAGTATATAGTGTAGTGCATATCAGTGTATAGTGTAGTGTATAGTATAGTGTATAGTGTAGTGTATTGTGTAGTGTATTGTGTAGTGTATCGTAGTGCATAGTGTAGTGTACAGCAGTGTATAGTGTAGTACTGTAGTGTATCATAGTATATAGTGTAGTGTATAGCAGTGTATAGTGTAGTATATAGTATAGTTGTGTATAGCAGTGTAGAGTATTGTGTCACATAGTACAAATAAATGACAAAGGAAAATACAATGGACGGTGGTGTCCACCTGCATAGGGAAATTGGGTGATTTAAACTTAGAAACACCTGCAGCAAACAAAGTGTGAATCACCACCAGAGACTAGAGGGTGAATGGAGGATAACACGAGGCATCTCCGCTCTCGAGCTCCAGCCAGCAGGGAAAGAGAGCAGCACCCAGAAACCGGCCACGCTTCTAGCTTGGACACCCGGTGGGGAGCAGGGAAGGGGCAGAGGAGCACAAGGAGGCTGCCTCTGACACCTCCCTATGGCGGAAAGGAGCCAACAGGCGCCGGCTCGCTTCCTTTCCTCTGACGACGACGGTGTCAGGCCGGCGGTGTTCCATGTCGCACGGCGTGAAGCTTCACCCTGACGTCGGGTTGCTTGTGAAAGTAGCCCAAAGCAGACGGTAAACGTCATCTGAGCCTCAAAGTGCCTTAAGGGAGTGTGAGCGTCGGCTCAGGTGTGATTGTCGGGATGAAGGGGTCATCCTGTGTATCGGGAGCGCACCGCGTTTGCCCAGAGATCCGCTACGGCGTGAAAGGCGGCAGGGTGGCTAGTCTACGAATTAAAGACAAACCAACCCTCTAGAATCGCCTCAAAGTTTTGGTATTGATTGCGCTCTCGCTAGACTCGACCCACACTATACACGGGCGTGACTTGGCTCACCAAAAATATAGTGGCCGCGATACAGGTGAGCTTGGAGAAGTAGGCAAGAACCAAAGTAACACATTGTAGTGTATAGTGGTGTAGTGTATAGTGTAGTAGTGTGTTATATTATGTTGTGTGTGTGGTGGTGGTGGTGCTGTGTGAGGTGGTGGGGAGTACGTGTGGAAGTGAGTGTGTGCGAAGTTAGGTACTCATAGTCTGTTGTGGACTATACAGAGGGATCATCATCTGTGCATTTATGTGTAGTGACTGACTCAGAGACACTAAGAGTAGGAGGCACTTATTAACACGGCCATAACAGTTAACACTTGGTAACTAAGGTTCTCAATCAGGACAGCTGGTAGACTGCCTGACTGGCGACGCCGAGATGGTGAAGACGGAGACGATGGTGAAGACTCCAGCAGCATGACGGGGATCCCACTCCAAACGACAGCCCCGAGGTCCCCTCCCGGGGCCTCTCTTATACTGCCAGCGAGGCCTGGCTCTGCCCCCGGCCACGCCCCCTTCTGGAAACTACTAGCGGGTTCTCAATGTGCCCCTTCCATAACCTTTCCCCTAGATCCCTCTCTGGTCTATCACGTGACCTGCTGTCAGTCAGAGCTGCTGTGAGCTGCAGATCCCCTTCCCTGTCAGCAGCCAGTGCTATGCCGCTATGTGACCGATTCTATGTCACTACACTAGTGTCGTGTATAGTAGTGTATAGTAGTGTAGTGCATAGTAGTGTAGTGCATAGTAGTATAGTGTATAGTAGTGTAGTGTATAGTAGTGCAGTGTATAGTAGTGTAGTGTATAGTAGTGTAGTGTATAGTAGTGTATAGTAGTGTAGTGTATAGTAGTATAGTGTATAGTAGTGTAGTGTATAGTAGTGTAGTGTATAGTAGTGTAGTGTATAGTAGTGTAGTGTATAGTAGTGTATAGTAGTGTAGTGTATAGTAGTGTAGTGTATAGTAGTGTAGTGTGTAGTAGTGTATAGTAGTGTAGTGTATAGTAGTGTAGTTTATAGTAGTGTATAGTGTAGTGTATAGTAGTGTAGTGTATAGTAGCGTAGTGTAGAACTCCTCCCCAAAGATCATCTCTGTTAACGACTAATCGCTTAAGGACGTGTCTCCATAGAGCACAATGTGTTCACTTATCGACCATTCCCCTGTTGACGACGGGCTGTTGTAGGTATTTGTTTATAATATTGTTAGTATCTTCATTTATTCATATCCATTGTTTAAATACTATAAAGTACGCTTTTGGGTGAAAAAGGGTAACTTTCCAAGCTATCAGAACAATTAAGCCTTTAACGGGTATTTCATATACACGCTTAACGAGCAAATCACTTAACGACCGGTTTCGTAGGGCAACTTAACATCGTTAGAGGAGGGGTTCTCCTGTACTACTATGACGACCCTGCACTACTATACACTACACTATACACTACACTATACACTACACTACTACACACTACACTACTATACACTACACTATTATACACTACACACTACACCAGGGGTCGGGAACCTTTTTGACTAAGAGAGCCATGAAAGCAAAAAATTTGGAAATTTATTTCAGTGAGAGCCATATAATATATTTTAAAAGTTAATTCAACTAAATGTCAGTATAATAAGCCTCTGAATTTATTATTTTAAATAATGTTGTTATAACACTCACCATTAATGCGACTTCTGGTGCTGCATGGATTTGCTGATGTCTTTGTAGTCGGGTTGGTACTTGGTGAGGTTAAGCTTCATGCAAGCGTTGAGGCTTTCATCCGTTAAACGTGATCGTAGGTTGGACTTGATGTTTTTAAGATGTGAGAATGACTGCTCACATGCATACGTAGATCCAAACATGGTCAATACAGCAATACTCACACGCTGCAGTGTGTGGTATGTGACAGGAAGCGCGTTCCAAGTTTTGAGAATCAGCTGGTCTTCGGGTTGGAGTTTTTTCATTTCTGTCCACATGTGCTTGCTCGCCAACTCCGCTTTCTGTCGTGTGATTCTTTCCAAATCTTCATTCAGTGACTTGAACTTATTCACCCACATGTCTGAGGCCTTCAGGTCAGCCACTTCTGCTTCAAAATCTCTGACGGAGACACCAGGGATGTAATTCAGGTCGGCTGTGTTCAGTGAACACTCGTTTGGATGGGTGATGAACTTAAAAAGACGAGTGTGCTCACGAAATTCTCCAAAGCGTGCTTTGAAGGACTGTAGGAGACTGGATGTGCAGCCAGCTAGCTGGTGGAGATCAAGGTTTTGAATGGGCTCACTTGCTGTGCATGCATCTTTAAATTGGCTCAGTTTTTCAAAATGTAGTAAACGACCTGTTTCAAGATCCGTGATGAAAAGCTCCAGCTTGTTTTCAAAAGCAAATACAGCTTGTTGAAGGGATAACACTGTATTTCCAATGCCTTGCATTTTCACGTTGAGCTGGTTCAGATGTTCAGTCAGATCTACGAGATAGTAAAACTTGAGGAGCCACTCGGTGTCGGCTAGCTCAGGATGCCCGACGCCTTTCATTTCAAGGAAAGTCCGGATTTCGTTCAGGCAAGCCGCAAAACGGCTAAGCACCTTCCCTCTTGACAACCAACGCACATTGCTGTGCAAAAGCAGACCAGGATAGTTATTTACAACTTCATCCAGCAGTGTTTTAAACTGGCGATCATTTAAGGCTCGGGCAACAATAAAGTTGATCACACGAATGACCAGCGACATCACTTCGCCAAACTGCCTGTCACACATCTGAGCACAAAGTGCCTCCTGGTGTATAATGCAATGGAAACTTAGGATGGGTCTATTTTCATGTTCACGGAGAAGCGCCACAAATCCTTTGTTTTTCCCCACCATACACGGAGCACCATCAGTACACACTGAGAGAAGTTTATCCATAGGTAGACTTTTTTCTTGAGCAAACTCCATGAAAGACTTGAATAAATCCTCACCTCTTGTGGACCCTTTTAATGGCAGAACAGCAAGACTTTCTTCGCGCAGTGTGTCACCAACAGCATATCTTGCAATCACGCTGAACTGCGACAAATGGCTCACGTCTGTTGACTCATCCAAAGCCAGAGAAAAGAACGGCGCTGCATTTATGTCCTTCACTTGCGTTTCCTCCACTTTGTTTGCCATCACGATGGTACGATCATGAACAGTTCTTGCCGACAGAGGCATGTCTTGTATCCGTTTGATTATCTTGTCTTTGTTCGGAAGATCATCAAAAAGTTCATTGGCTACATCCAGCATGAACGTTTTAGCATACTCGCCATCTGTGAATGGTTTTCCGTTCCTCACTATTGCTAAAGAACCAGCAAAGCTAGCCGAATTATAGTCACCTTGCTGGGTCCATACGCGGAGTTGCTGCTGGCTAGCTTGCACCCTGCTCAGCTCTTGGCACGCTTTCTTTCTGCTGTCTCCCGCAGGGTATTTTGATGCAAAGGTAGCGTGGCGCGTGTTGAAGTGCCGCTTTACATTCGACCGTTTC